CACACACACACACACACACACGAGTCCGCAACTCGTCATGCTTGTTTCCTTTCTCTCTTCTTATTACTTGTCAATACTTCCATCTAGGCGTGGCGCCCAGTGATGACGTGTTTCGGTCAGCTGCTTCTTACTCGCCGCTCCCTGGTGCACAACCTTCTCACCAGCTCCGCACCCCTTGAAATTGAACCCTACTCAAGCATCGCTAAGGCAGCGGCTGCTGCTACAGATGAAGGCGTCAGCGGTCAGGCCATGCAAATACTGCGTTCCTCGGGATTCATCATCCTCGAGGTCATTGCCAGCATCTTCGTGCGGGACATTGACTACTATTGCACATCTGCTGAAGCTATCCCCGTCGATGAGAAGAATGTAAGGTTAACTCTTCTTCATCCTGGCTCCATCGTATTTTCTCTGTCTCCCCACTTAAAACATTTCTAATTCTTTATTCCTCTCCACCCCCATGATGGTTCAAGGCCGGAGCGCGTTTATTTTATGCGTTAGCTAGATCGACGAGCAGCATACTAGCCTCAGTTTAGTATTAGTTGGTAGGTCGGTTTTAGATATTTTATTAATTACTAGCAGAATAATCTGGAGTAATTTAAATAAATAATTATATGAATATGCACATGCATTGGACACTCGTCTGTTTAACCCACTGGTGAAGGACGGTTGTCGGGGTTTGGCTGCTGTGTTCAGTAAGGCCTTATAAAGCCACAGATGAGAGCTATACATGCCGACGATATACTAATGGCGGGACCGTCAGTATACTGCTTGCAAGAACCTGCTTATACCGTGGTTATGCCGGTGCTAACAGGCCCGATTGGCTTCCCATGCTCTACATCTTTGTTCGTGGTAGTTATCGGTGTTATGTTACAACGTCACGCATCGACCATCAAACCACGTCAATGAATTTGGAGTGGACCACACAACTGCAACGTGGATCCTCATCCACGATAGCCTGATGGTCATTGGTTTTTTTCAACGCGAACAATTTTGGGTTCCTTTTTTCGAGGAAAACATCAGTGTACTACGTTGAATTGACTAATGTGATAGGGTGTGCAGCGAGGAGCAACGCTCAGAGTTTTGCTATCGCCTGCGCCCAAGTTCTGTTTTTTTACTTAAGGTCCTCAGGGCACTCGGCTCCCGCAGACCCTGTGTTGTGGTTTGCAGTGGTGCCTATGGGCATGGACTGCATAACATGTGTTAAGATTTTGACTGCAGAAGGTTTTAACAATAGTCACA